CGTCTCCTTCCTCCTTCGTACCCTCCCGTATGAAATCGGCCAAGACCTGCGCTTTGGTTGCCCTTCTTGGCTCATATATTATAGAGTACTCGCTCAGCTCAACCGCCCACTTCACTAGTCGACCATATACTGATGGTCGACCTAAAGTCTGCTCCAATGGCATGTTTGTGCGCACCTTGACCTTATGGTTTAGGAAATATAGCCTCAGCTTTCGGACCGTCACGACCACCGCCAATGCACATTTCTCAATTTTCGAGTATCTGAACTATGCTCCCTGCATCACCCGACTAACATAGTATATTGGGAATTGTGTCACTCCCTCTTCTCGAAACAATACCGAGCTTACCGCATTCTCGCCCACCGATATGTAGAGCACAAGTTCTTCTTCCTGTGTTGGCTTAGCTAGTAAGGGCAAGTTTGCCAGCACTTCTTGTAGCTCCTCGAAGGCCTTCTGGGCTTCCTCCGTCCACTGAAACTTCGAGCTCTTCTTTAGGGTTTTGAACATAGGACTGCTCTTCTCAGCCACCTTGGAGATGAATCTGCTCAGCCCCGCTATTCGACCAGTTAGAATTTGGACCTCCTTCGCACTGGCTGGTGGCTTCATCTCGATCACAGCTCTCACCTTCTCGGGATTCACCTATATTCCTCGCTTTGTCACCATGTATCCCAAGAACTTCCCTGCCTTTACGCCAAACGAGCACTTAGCCGGATTAAGTTTCATGCCAAACCTCCTCAGTGTTTGGAAAGTCTCTCTCAGGTCGCTTACGTGGTCCACCTCCATTTTGCTCTTTACCAGCATGTCATTGACATATACCTCCATATTCCTCCCCAACTAGTCCTTGAAAATATGGTCGACCAACCTCTGGTAAGTGGCCCCGGCATTCATCAGTCCAAATGGCATGACCACATAACAATAGGTGTCTTTGCTTGTTATGAAGCTCACCCTCTTCCAATCTTCCTTTGCCAAGAGGATTTGATGGTACCCTTGTGAGGCGTCCATCAAGCTGAGCAACTCGCATCCCGCCGTGGAGTCCACCAGCTGGTCGATCCTTGGCAGCGGGTATAGGTCCTTCGGCAAGCCTTATTTAGATCACGGAAATCGATACACATCCTCCACTTTCCTCCCGATTTGGATACCATTACTGTGTTAGATAACCATTCAGGGAACTGAATCTTCTTGATGTGCCCAGCGTTCAATAGTTTTTCGACCTCCTGCTCGATAATTTTGTCCATCTCCGCTCCATGATGTCTCCTCTTCTGTTTTACCGGCTTCACACTAAGATCGATATTCAGCCGGTGCTCGATTATCTTGGCCTCGATCCCTGTCAATTCCTCCGCAGTATATGCGAAAATATCCGCAAACTCTCTTATCAAGTCCACCAACCTCGACCTGATTGACTCTCCGAGCTCTTTCCCAATTCTAAATTTTCGATCATCCTTCCCTTCCACCATTTGGACCTCCTCAGCCTCGCCCCCTGGTTGCATGTCCATTTTCTCCTTTCCCTTGTCTTGACGTCCCTTCTCCTCTTTCGACCTCGATCCTCCTGGTCGATCGGGCCGTTCCTCCCCCCCTTTCGCTTGCTTCCTCGCCATTTGCTTGTTATTGCTAACAGTGGTTTGGTAACAACTCCTCAATGTGAGCTGGTCTCCAGCAATCTCGCCCACATTTTCACCCACAGGATATTTGATCGTCATGTGGTATGTAGAAACAACTGCTTGGAATGCGTTCAACCCCGTCCATCCCAATATGATATTGTAGGACGATTCTACTCCTACCACCACGAACCGCACCATCCTCACCTTCCTAGTATCACCCGATCCCAACGCCACAGTTAGACTTACTTCGCCCTTCGGCATTACCTCACCTCCGTTAAAACCATACAAGGCCGTCGCTACTGGTTTCAGTTCCAGATTCAGATGTTTGTTAATCTGCGCGAAGCAGTCATAGAACATCACATCGA